TCCTGGGTCACCAGGCGTTCCTTTACGCTCGCCAAGGATTTCTCCATGGCTTCGTAAGAGTACATTTTCAGGCGAAGAGGTTTCAGCTCGGCCTGGAGATTTGTGATGGTCGCCTCCAGCTCGTCATTCTTCTTCTGGGCCGCCTCTAACTGAGCCCGAACAGCGGCGGTAGCCTGCGCCTGATAATAAAGAATATCAATGGTCAATACTTCATTTTGGGCAATTTAAAACATTGCCTTATCACAGTCAGAGGCGGCCATAGCTTTTGCAGCCTTTACCTCTTTGTTTTTCCGATCAAGCGGCTTGCGAAGGCCGTTAACTCGGAGCAGGGCCTAAGTAAAAAACAAAAAAAAAAAACAGGCGTCAGTTTCCAAACAAAAAAGAAAGCAGGCGTCCAGAAAATTCAAATACTCAAAAATATGCTAAGTATACCTCAGCAAGGACCCCTGCAATCCCGTCAAGGTCAAGGGTGCCGACACCCCTGACCGCCTCCCTTTCAGCCGGAGGAACTGCCCTGATCATAGACTTGGCCTTCTCTACCAAGTCAGGCCCCTGGGGGCCGGCTGCATCAAGCATAAACAAACGGATTAGACTTAGTAAAAAAGGAGCAAGTCTAAAATTTACAAGGACAACTTCATACCTCTAGGTGGCCCAGTTGGAGCTTTAGAAGAAGTGGCCGGCTGTTTCTCAGCCGCCACCTGTTTCCTGGCAGAACCAGGAGAGCTCCCAACAGTCGTCTTCCGGGCCTTGGGGTCCGGCTGTTGGGAAGATGAAGCTCTTGGAGCACCCGTCTAAAAAAGGAAGAAAAAAAAAAGTCAGTATATGCATAAACACTCCAAAAAGAGGGTGAAAGGTTCGGAGCTCACCAAGGGTGCCCCCTTCTTGGGGGAGTCGGTTGAAGCTTGTTGCATAATAGAGGCCCGCAACATGGCCGCCACAGTCTTGGAGGCGGTTATTTTGCTCATGGCGTCAGCTGCAAAAACAAACGGCAAAGTTAATAAAAGATAAACAACAAATGTATGAAACAACAGAGTATTCGACAGGCCGACTACCTCTTGAGCACCGACTGCTGAGGCCACAGGCGGCCAAAAAGTACTCGTCATAGAGCCACTTGAAGCTCGGGACGCAGTGCAGGGGTACTTGCTCTCGTACCCCTGAAGTAGAGTCGACCCTCGACTCTACTTTAAAGAGTCCTTTGTCAAGGATCTCTTTCTTAGCCTTGGGGGGAACAGGCGGCATGCTACGGCCGCCTGCAAGAAGAGGCGGATTCCTGTTCCACCTATTGAAGCGCTTGTTCTGCTCAATGTCAGAACTCTCAATGATGAGGAAGGTGCTCCGCCAGTCCTCCCACTTGTTTGCTTTACCTCTTGTCATGAGGTAGCCCCTGTGGCTTGTCAATTGATACCAGCCGGTACCGCCTGTCTTAGGGGTCCGGCTGAGATAGTTCATATGGGCGAAAGCCTCGAAGCTCGGCTCCACCCCGTGCAGTTCGCACCCGGCCACATAGCCGAGTACGTTGACCCAAGAGTTTGGGGCTAACTGCCATAACCCCAACTCATACCCATCCAAAATCCGCTGAACAGCCGGATGTAATGGGAAGCGAAGCCCTGCCTTGATGGCCGCCTCATAGCAGCCAAAGCAGGAGCTTTCATAACTGGAACCAGCCGGCCAGACGACTGTGTCTTCTGGATCCGGCACAAACACTAGAAAATCGGGGCCCATGGTGTGGTTTGCAATAAAGCTCTCCACTTTTTCTTGCATGGATGTGATTCGGCCCCGAGGTACCGTGCAGTAGTAGGGGGTATTTAGCTCTCGGTAAGAGGCGGATGGTTCCGCCCAATTGTCCCCCTTCTCAACTGCGTGAGAAAGTCTCGCCTCTTGCAGGCGGCTGTTTTTCTCTTCTGTACCCAAAGAAGCATGGCCAGAAGAGCTTGACGAGGAATCGTCCTCGGACGAGTCTGAAGAGGACGACTCCTCCCCTCTCCCGGAGGGGCCCGCCTCCTCTCTTTGAAAAGGAGCAGATTTGTTAACTGTTAAATTGGAAGGGGTCACTATGACTCCCCCCACAGAATTGCCGGCATCCAGGCCGCTTTGTCTCACTTCAACATCTGGCGCCTGGTAAGATGTTTCACTAATCGGCACCCTGTGGGAGGAGCCGTCTGAATTTGAGATCCTAGCTGTCTTTTTCGTTCTGGCCATCCTGCTCTGCATAGACACAGATACAGTCGGACTTTGTATAAAGGGCAAAGATGGGTCCGGAAAAGGGCAGGCGACACTCCTAGTCCTAGATTCAGCCGTCCCCGGTGACCGGCTGATCACTAACCTAGGTCGTGTCGTGTGCTTCCGTGGTGCCATTTCAGAAAATAAAAAGAAAATTAAGAGTAAGAGAACTGAGTTACCTGAACGAGTGACGGTTGATGAAGTTCTGAAAATCCTGTGCAGTCGGCTTGTCAGAACAGGCGGTAGGCAGAAAAAGTCCAAAATGTCAGAGCAAGTTCAGGGGTCCGAATGTTCTCAAATAGTTCTCAAAGTGTGAAAATGACTCAAGGCAACTCTCCCTTATATAGGCGAAGTGAGAAGGCGAAGGGTCACTTCCAGAATTCAAAATTTGGGCGGGAAAATCTCTCGTCCTTTCGCCGACTGACACCTGTAGCAGGCCGTCGCCCGTTACTGTGCGACACCTGTCACAGGTAACACGTGACCAGTCACGTGCCACCTGTGAGGGGCAAATGATTAGGGGATTTTGCTCCCACCAATCGGAATGCGCCAAGTGGACCAATCAGGTCCTGCTAAGTGTCTCCTAGTTGGAACTGTCAGGACTTGCCACGTGGCACGCGCTTATTCGTCCACCTTGGACCTGTTATGTCACGACATGTGGCATACTCCATGCCTAATGGAGAACCCGGCCACCCAGGCCCAACTTCCGAGGGAAGCCCAATCGGCCCTAGGTTTACCTAAACCTAGAATGGGCACGTTTCCCAAGGTTATAAATACCTCCCTTAATCCTCATTAAAAAAAAAAAACACAAGAAGTTTACGCGAAAAACATTACGGAACACATTAATAACCGGCTGATCTCGCTAACAAAGCAGATTACCTACATTTAACACTCTCACCTAGAGAGACCTTATTACTTTAATTTCCGCATTAATTACTCCTTAATCAGGTACTAACTTGACCGTTGGAGGCGGAGCTCACAGGAGTCTCCGTTATTTTGCAGGTACAGGCGTCCGGTTCCAGTCTCGGAATTGTAACTCTCCCGCGGGACATCAGAAAACCCCGAAACAACCCTATTTAACATTGTTTTGAAAATTAAATTCCATTTTAATTTTTAAATTTTTGGTTTTCTATATATATATATATATATATATATATTTGTTGGTAGACGCTACGGACTTAATTGGCTTGAGCCTTAGTATGGAGACCTACTAAGTGAAAACTTTCAAATTCAGAGAAACCCCGGAATTAATAAAAATGGGCAATCCTGAGCCAACTCCTTTTGTCAAAAGCAAAAAATAAAGATTTAGAAAGCAACAATAAAAAAAGGATAGGTGCAGAGACTCAAAGGAAGTTGTTCTAATTTTTTTGACAAGAGATATTATGTTATTTAGTTATGATTTGTTAACAATAGTGAATAATATAATTTAATTGAAATTTCCTAATTAAATATGAAAATTATGCACTTTTGGGAATTGTATATTCATATTTAATCAAAAATTAATTAGGAAAACGGAGGAAGTAATTTTATTTCAATATGTGTTAAAAGTTTATAATTCAATTCTTATTATAAAAACGTGCATCGCACGGGATTAATCTAGTATAACTAATATATAAAGCTAAACTTTTAGCCAGGCGAAGAGGCAGTGACACTTGGCGTTCCAAATTTTCGCCAAGTGTTGTACCACGTAGGATAGAGTTATATAGAATTCAATTTGTAGGATAAAAAAGTTAATTTAGAATTTTATTTTCAATCAAATTTGGATATAATTTTAGGATAAAATTGTTAATTTAGAGTTTTATTTTTGATAAAGTACTATTGAAAAAATAATTAGATTATAACTCTCATAAATTATCATATAAATTTATTTTTTTGTATCATAATATTTTTCCGGAACGAAGGAATTAGTTCAAAATGTGTCACATCCATTGTTTATAATATATTCTAATCAATTAAAATAATATACTTCACAGTTTAATATAATTTTATTACTGTGTGTAGACCTATAAATTAGGTCGGGTTACCAGTCATTTTAGGCAGGGTCATTATTTCAGGTTACGGGTCAAGAAATATTTTTCACCAATATTATTATTATTAGTCATTACATGTCTACAGGTTTAAATCGTCACAAAAACACATCAATTCCTAAGTAATTTTGTATCAATAATATATTTTAAAATTTGACATATAGATTAAAAATATATCTTAAAATTCAATAAACAATCCGGGCCTCGCACGGGCACAAAACTAGTGTCTATAATACGAAGTAGTGTTTTTTTTTTTTTTTTTTTTTTTTTTTTTTTTTTTTTTTAAATAGCATGTGTATAGACTATAATAGTTTAACAACACACAAACTTGTAAACGAGATAACACTTTTTAGGGAGTAATCTCAAGGACACTCCTATATCTTTTGACGACAAAGTGTGGGTGATGGGGGCTTGTGATGGCTTCTTGTATTACTTCGTACTCACAAGCTGCATTTCCACACAAGGCTTGCGCCCTTGCTGCCGAAAAGGCAAGAGCAAATCACATAATCCGATTCCAAGAACTTGAACTATGATACACTGGCAACCCATAGGCATCCCGGTCCCTAGGCTACGATGTACTCCAACATACAATGACCCATGCAACGGTTGCAAGGGTGTGGGGCATGAATTTGACACTAAGGGACTGTTCTCATTGACTGAACTTAGCTGAACTTAACTTAACTTAACTTAACTTATTAGAGCTGAACTGAACTGAACTGAAATGAATTTTTTTATAAGAGAAGGAAATTAGGAGTTGAGTTGAACTGAACTGAACTTATTAGAGCTGAACTGAACTGAAGTAAACGCATGAGAACAGGCCCTAAGCTATCTTGGGTGATGTTATAGTAAGTGAACTATTACAACTTTTCAACTTCTTGAAGAAGAAAGTTCAAAACTTGTATGTGTGTTTGATAACTAAGGGCACCTTCTCGATCTTCTGATTCTTCTTTTCATAATTGTTCTTTTGCCCATGGTCGTAAAAACGGTGGTCCAGTAGCTGCATCCCACATTATTACAGTCTACTAACATGTATGGATGTATGGGTGTCTCCATAACTGTGTTAAGATTGTTAACCCCTAGAATCTCAAAATGCTGTATTATAAAAATTCAATGTATTTAATCTTGTCTTTCCAACAAAAAGAAACTTTTACTAACAGTGGAGAAATAATTGCTGCATATAAAATTATTATGTTAAGCATGAATTTGAGTTTACATCATTTACTCAACACACTTATTTTCTTTTTACATGCATGTTTGATGCAAATCTTCTCAACTTATTTCTAAAGAAGAATGACATACAATGATATCGCCGTGTTAAAACAAGTATAGGCAGAAGTTGAGATAATGATCAACAATTGTTAACTCGTATGAATGTTTAGCAGATTGAGGAAAGATGAGCAAACTTTACCTTGAACAACATTAAAAAGGCATAATCATTAAGATCATCACACTGCTGCAAACCCATTCATCCTCCATTTGAGTGGCTGATAAGTCATTTCTGTATTTTCTTCAGGTTTACTCCAGGGTAATGTGAGCTTTGCCCACTTCTTCCTCATCAAAGCAGCACCGAGGCGGTCATCCAATTTCTAGACAACATTAGGGTAAGAAAGATTGATGAGGATCGAGAAGGATAAGAGCTTTGAAAGATAACACTTTGAAGGATTATGCAAAGCAAAAACTTTTTTGTGATATTGTAGAAGAGTGGATAAATTAACTTTTTAGGAATAATTGACATGATATAATTGCCTCATAAGCACTTTTACATTATTCACTTAATCTTCTTTGACCGTCTTTTGTGATTTATCTATTAGAAAAAACATAGTCATGTGAGATCCAGTTAGATTCGTCTTGAAATTTACTTTTCAAATATCAATTATTTATAATTTTTACAAAAGTATAATTAATGATATTAATAGCCAAAGTAATGCATTGGCAAGTGTGAAACCCCTTATGGTGCAATAAAAAAAGAACGGAGGAAGTATAATCCTATGTTTCATCCAAATTTCTTTGGTTGTTTTGGAATAATCCAATGTTTTAGGGGTGATTTGTCAAATAAAAAAAAGTTTTTCCTATATATTATCATATATAAAACGAGACTACAAGTACAAGAAAATGATTTTTTTTTGAGAAGGCACCTCCAAAATGGGGTTTACCCTGAATAATCTCAAAGCACAGGTAAAACTCATAAATATTCATGCATGTTTTCGTACTTATAAAATTTTAAACATTAAGTTGAAATACCTTGAGGCATAATCCACCATAAACATCACAGATGGGATATTCATGAGGGCAACAGTAGTCTGATTCAGGGCAGCAAACAGCGTTGGTGTAGTCACAGCAACCTTGAATCAGACAAAATCCAAAAGATTCATATAGGCAACAGCAAGTCTGTCCTGGCAGACAGTATGAGAAATCTCCACATTTACTAGGTGAGGGAGGTGGGGGAGGGGAAGGATGTGGAGGAGGATGAGACGGTGGTGGTGGAGGTGGTGATGGAGGAGAAACGGGGGGAGGGGAAGGCTGCAGAGGAGGTGGTGTTGGAGGAGATGGAGTAGGTGTGGGAGGAGGTGAAGGCAGCAGAGGAGGCGGTGTTGTAGGAGATGGAGTAGGTGTGGGAGGAGGTGAAGGCAGCAGAGGAGGCGGTGTTGTAGGAGATGGAGTAGGTGTGGGAGGAAGTGGGGAAGGCAGTGGAGGAGGCGGTGATTGGAAAGATGGAGGAATGGCAGTAGGAGGGGAAGGCTGCGGATGAGGTGGGGAAGGTAGTGGAGGTGGAAGTGTTGGGGAAGTATCAGAAGATGGAGAAGGGTAAGGAGATGAAGCTAATAAAGTTGTCTGAGAAGGATATGAAACTAAGGCATTGATTCCACAAACTCCGTATGGTAAGTCAGTGTTCCTTCTTATGTATATGTAGCCGTTCATTCCCCATCTAGTGCCCCAAGAGTTCTTCACTATCCAATAATCCTTGTTTCCTTCAGAGCCGTAGCCAACTATCAGAACAGCATGGTTGATGTCATCTGGATTGCTCGAGCAAGCACCATCATAAATTCCCTACTCAGAACATATGGAACAATCTTTCAGCAACGAATTTTCCAATGTTAACTGATCAGATTTTCGATAAGAATGAAACCTCAAAACCTGAGTGTGAAAGGGAGATTACTGAGACCTAGTTACTTTTTACTTTTAAATGCACTAGATTGGACTTAAAATCTGATAACAAGAAGATTAAATTCTACAGAGTAAGACTAATATCAATCAGCATATCAAGGTTCCAGCATATATGAAATTGTAGAGAGAATGAAGTGCATAATAATTACTTTGAAGTTGGGTAGATTGAACAGAAATTTGGTTCAAATTTCATATGTTTTTCGTCAAGATATACATCTGCATTCTGAACTGTTACCACATATTTGGTAACATACAAAAAAAAAAAAATGAAATATGCAGAAAAACATGACTCTTTTAACATTATACATATAAACATACATCAATATGTATAAAATCAGTCATAGATGTTAGCATATACTTACTCCAGTATACAGCTGAAAGTCAATAGATGATCCATCTATGCCAACACTTATAGGCTGTCTTACAGTTGCACACAGGAGAGCGGTCTCTGTTTCTTCCACATATCCATAGCCATTAATGTTTACAATCTTCTTTTCCATCTGAGAAACAAGAAAATTGAGTTCAGACATGCTTAGCAGGCAACTGATCATTTGTTAGCTAAGCAGAAATCTAAATTTCACGTCACATACCCATGTTGGATCCCTTCAACATGGGTATGGACATGATATACTTCATTTGGGACCAGAATTCTACAAAATTCTAATTAGATGGCGAGTCTGACTCTTTAGACAGATACTCATGTCTGACATGGGTACCCAAGTCCGAGTAATATAGCTTGCTAGCAAACAACTCACATCATTGACATTAACATCTCATGAACGTGAAGAAAACTGAGTAGGACCTTGTTGGTAGTACAGGTACCACCACTTCCACTGTAAGGGTAATTAGCTTCACCCCCAACACCACCATTGTTTGTGACCCACTTGAACGCATTACCCATGTAACCCCCATCGCAGCCATCATCATCCTTGTCACAATCTACAAGCTCCTGCTCTGAGAGGCTGATGAGTTCTTTCTTATTGATCGCGTTGATTCCTTCAATAGCACCAATAGAAGAGAATGCCCAGCTGCTTCCTGTATGCACAAGTCACAGGGCATGTAATTACTGAATTACAATAAATTCCTTTTCTGTCAATATTCCTATACTTGCACAACTTATAATTCCATGAAATTTGTAATACCTAGCTAGTATACTTTGTACATTGTTTTACCCCTTATGCGAAACAATAGACTTTATCAAGTCGTTGTCTATTCTAAAAAGCATAGGTTACTTCCGGGAAAACTATATGCCCTGAGTTAGGATTGAAAGGCAAAACAAGGGCAGTCACTTTTGACAGATTAGATAGTTTAATACTTCGTATTGATTTAGAAGCTATCGAAATAGATTAAAGTTAATTGCACTAATGTAACACTTTGAAGACAGGTTTGAAGCTATATATTTTCTAGAAAATCTTCAAAATGAATATAATCCCATGTTCAGTAACTAATGTGCCAATTAAGACACTGAATTTCAATAACAAGTTTAAAATTTTGAACTGTAAAAATCATGAGAGTAGCTCAAAAGTTCACCAATCATCACATTGCCACACAAAAATTTATGGCTAAATTTGTGCATTAGCAATAAGTATATAAACGACCAAGATGAGTACTACCCTGTTTGGCTGTTCATGTTCATATGCATTTCGTTCAGGCGAGTTTGAACAAGCTTTCAACTGAGCTTCTCAATACGTTTAGAAGGTTGTAGAGTTTGTGAAAAGTTCACAATTGATTATATTCATGAACATTATCAAGTTGTTCATGAACATAAACAAACAAGCTCATAAACTTACACAAATGTGTATATTAATGTTCGTGTTTTAACTTCGATCATTTATTAAATTAATAACTAGCTACAACCAAACTCAAAACTCAGCTAATTGTTGAGAATCTCAAGCCCATTTGTACCCCTTTGTTAGCATTCTTAGCTAGTTGTTTTCCAAAATGTTGCAAGTTTTATGTTACTTAGGCTCGATGTACCCATGTCTGATACGGGTAAGTGTTGACTCGCTGTTTAGTGAAAATTTCTCTATGTGTCTAAGCCTCATATTCATGTCCGAGTGTTTAGATTCAAATATAGGTATTTAACTATTTAAGGTGAAACGAAGAGTCCCAATAACATACCAAGTATACTAACACACCATATAGAATTATAGACACACTAGTACACCATATAGCCTAAGAATGTTTTACCACCTACAATATAAATAGAGTACGAGTATTTTAGTCAACCTTTCTTTTTTTTTTACCTTATCTAACCTTTCTTCAAATACTACCTCTGGTTCAATTTCCTCGCAATAAAGGAATATTTTATGGCTCACAAATAATACCCCTTTGTTGCGAGTAAATTGAACCGGAGATAGTAACTTGTCTAAGAAATGTGTTATTTTTTTTAAAAAAACTACCACCTACTAATTTTAGTTGCAACACTTGAAAATTTACAGTATTCGTATTCCATTGGAGTGTAAAAAAAAAAATGATCTTTGATCGGAGAGTATTAAAAAATGAAAAACAGAGAGTATAAAGATACATACCACAAACACCCTGATCCTTAACCGGAGTAACCACCCCCATCTCCCTCCAATCCAAAGACGGCGGCGCGTCGCAACTCAACACCAAACTCTCGCGCGTATCCCTCCATTGACCCAACCCAACCGGACTCTTCACCTTACCCAAATACCTCTCTCTAAACTCCTCATTACTCATATCACTAAACCGGTTCAACCCAACCGTAAACCCTGTCCGGTTCAAATTTCTCTCAACAACAAATTTCAGATTCCTTTCAAAGTTCTCGAACCTTCTCGTTGACTCCTCCACTTGATCATAAGACATTCCATGTTCATCCCTCCATTGCTGGAATAACTCCTTTACCCGGCTCGATGATCGGAGGTCTTCCGGTTCGAACCCAGGAAGTCCGGTCCAACAGAGACATGGTAAGAGGAAGAGAGAGTAGAAAAGAAGATGGTGGATTGGTTTATGGGTACCCATTTGTAATTTGGGAAGACTGAGTTTGGATTTGAATTAAATGGTTGATTTTGATTATACTGTTGTTTTGATTTGATTTGGTGAACATTTGAATTGTTCTGTTTTATTTCTGTATTAGATTCATGGATTTTGTTAGTTTGCTCTTATTAAAATTGCAAGTATTCCTAATTTGCTTAAAATTATTGAGCTGCCTTGTCACTGTTATCAGTATTTTAGGTTGCATTTTTTTTACGGGGTTGCTCATTTTTAAAATTTAGGATCAGTATACATTGACTGAACTAGGTGAATTGAACTGAACTTATTAGAGTTGAATCGAACTGAAATGAAATGAATATTTTATAAGAGAAGGAAATTATGAGTTGAACTGAACTTATTAGAGCAAAATTAAACTGAACTGAAAATAATCGTATGAGAACAGACCCTAATCTTAACAACCGCACTTATTTAATATCATGTTCTTTTAAGTTGAAGGGAAATAAGCTTAACGGAATGAAACGACCTAAATTAAACTGAATTGAATTGACCTAAACTGAATTGAAATAACATGAATTAAACTGAATTAGAAATAAGTTCAATATAACTTGGTTTAGATTGACTTCCCTTAAAATAAAATAAATTTAAACGGTGGTAAATGACAAAAAAGTCATTGTATAGGTACCTAATTTTGCTTTTTGTTGAATTTGGATTTCTAATTAAAAAAAAAAAAAACCCAAATAATATAAGGTTAAAAAAGAACAAAATGTATGCAAATAGTTAATTAGCCGCACTTGGATTGTAATTTGGCAGGAATTTGTTAGCTAATAGTAGTAAACATGAACACAAATTTGCGTGGCTAGTCACAAAGTATGGCATGCAAGGTTACCTGGTCAGGGTTTACTCAATCAGAGGTTGTGTTGTTAAGGTTACTCGACCAATCCTGTGTCTTTTAAGCTGCTCTGTTAAAATCTATTCTGTCTGTGTTGAGCCATAATCTGCTTTGCTCTGCTGACTTAATCTATTTTGCTAAAATTGCTATGTTTGCCTAGAAGCTCAAAAGAACATGTCCACTCGATTAGTCAGGGGTTATATGGCTAGAGTTATTTGATTAGGGATCATTATTTTGATGTGAGTCGGCTTAAAAAAAGCATTGGTTTGTAAAATATACTACTACCTCGTAAATTTTTATGTGGAACTTTGGAATATTTTATATTTCACAAATAATACCCCAAAGTTGCACATAAAAATTAAGTAGTACTCCCTCTGTTTTTAAATACTTGCTCCATTTCTCTTGGACACGCATGCCGATGCTAATCTTTGATCACTTATATCTTTAATTATCAATAAGTATAAATTCTAACAATTGAAAATTAATAATTTATTCATTGAGATGATTCCAACAAGTATACACAAGACTATATTTTTTCTTATGTATAAGTCACAAACATTAGTCAAAGTAGGACAAATGAATAGTGCTAAAAATAGAAATGGAGCAAGTATTTAAAAACGGAGGGAGTATTTCGTACGTAACATTTTTAGTTATTTATGGCCTATGGGCTTGTGCTAATGCCTGTATAGAAAAACTAATAATCTATATAGAGCCATCAAGTTAGGCCCATGAAATTTAATCACGTACTAGACCAAAGGCCTGCAACTGAGATGGGGAGAAGGAGAACCACTATCAAGCTCCATTGTACGAAGTACTCTTACTCTATATAATCGAACATGAAATATATCAAGTACAATGCAAAATCGCAAAAACTATAATACATAACTAAAAAAAACTATCGTAGTTTTATTGTTTTTTCCATATTAAAAAAAAAAAAAAGTTTGTTGACTTTAGATTTTAGAAGACTTCATTGTAAAGTTTTCTTTTTGAATGGACGACGGCAAAAAAGGTGGTAAATTTTTGCTATATTTTCCAAAGGTTGTCAAGTGGAATTTCTCTCTTCATTGACTTTTCTACCGGAAATCATTTTCTCCACAACAATAGCCAGATTCTTGAGATTAAGCTCAATTATAGTATTAGCAAACAAGCATGTGTCTTTCTCGTTACTATCATTGGGTACGTCCACAGTATAAGACTCAACAACCAACGTCTTATAATTTCCATTTCCATTCTCTACCACCTCGTGTAGTGAGGTGGTGACGTGAAAATTGATTAGCTTGTGATCCCCATCAATTACTCGATACACACTTATATGTTGCTCCTCGTCCATTCTCTCAAGCCTTTCTATGCTAGTTTTGCCTGGCAAACCTGATCCAAAAAAAAATCTGACGAACTGATCCGACCTCTCCAACCCCAGATATTAGGGTGCAAGTTTGGACAAGTTTCTTAAAAACATGGGGCCGGTCAAACCGGCGGATGAAGGACCACACCACCGGGAGTGGTGCATTGATGGTTTGTAAGATTTGTGAGCCACAACGGTGACGTTGAACTTGACTTACCATTATATTGTAGGAGATTTAAAGAAGGTGATTTATGTATAAGAGCGAGTACAATTACTTTATGTGGTACGAATTTTATAGTAAGACTATATATATAGAAATATAGAATTGGCGATTCATAAAACTCACATCATCAAAGGTGGTCTTAAATATTAGGATGTATAAATTCAATTGTAATACGAATTATTAGTATTTACTTAAGTTTGCCTCGTGAAGGAGGATATAGACCATGCTAACTTGAGGACAATAGATATCATCCTTGGATTTGTTGTATCTCACGTGAACGTCACATGGTTACCTCACTCTAATGTACATAGTAGTTACAACGAAAAAAAAAACACTGCAGAACGTATTTTTTTCCAAAAAATCGTGAAACGTTGCTTAAAATTTGGAATCTTGATTAAAAATTGACCAAAGACGTAGTTTTCCAATAATTGTTTTATCAGAAATAGATCGGTTACAAGAAAATTTGTAACCATATGACGCACAAGTATGTTGGAAAAAGTCGCACCTTTTATCATAGTTTCAAATTATACCGTGTACACGTAGTATTCCGTATTCAACTATTCATTATTCAGTAAAATGCAGTATTGTATAATTTATTTATTTATTTTTTAAAATATAAGGCACTTCTAAATTTAGTAATTTAAAGTTCAATTCTATTAATCATCTCTTTTTAATGCATAAATAAAAATTAGATGGCGAGTGAGATAAAAAATTTAATTAGTGAAGTGTTGGAATGTGACTCAAGAATCAATCGAGGCTTGGCATATAAGCTAAGGGGATGAATTACTTGTGTTAAGCAAGGAAGCATTGGATGGGTGATCAACTTCAACTGGACATATCTCCCAAACTACTTGCAGTTTTGAGGTGATTCAAGTTGGAGGTGATTCAAGTTGGAGGTGAAAGCTTGTTTCAAGAGCTTTCCAATGATAGGTCATAAGCTTAATTTCGATGAGAAACGAGGAAGTTACAATTGTTTTACTACGAGCTATCTGTGCTGACCCGAACAGGGGATGCACGCCCGTGCTAAACTTGGCACGTCCGTGCAGCTCCAGTTCCAGACGAGCAGTAACTACTGGAATGATTTATCTAGGCTAGCACATCCGTGCCTACTTGATACCCTGTCCAAGTCTGTCGGTATAAATATCCATTAAGGGTTATTTTGTTCATTAAACCCAAATCTTTAACCCTTATAAAAGTCCCAAGCACCAGGACTGTAGCAAATTTTACTGTTCCTTATGAATAGTGGATTGACGCCCTTGCCCTTAGCCCCTGAACTTGATTGCCCAAATTTCCAGGGTTAGTTTGGTATTGAGTGAAACACAATTAGAGCTAGGGTTCTTGTTCTGGAAACCCTTGTGCTTTAGAGTGGAAATTAGTGAGAGATTACTCTTGTAAACACTAATTAAAATAAATGCAATCATTTTCCTTGTTCTTGGGTGGGTTTTATAGTCTTCAAGTAATTGCTTGAAGGATTTTCCCACCTTCCAATTTCTTGTCTCTTTTACTATCAAATTTCTTAATTGTTCTTGCTAATTACTTCAATTATCAACCATTTGCTCTATCATGAAGAATATTTGTAGTGTTTATTCTTTATTACTATTTATGCTTATATCACAACACCGCTTATTACTTTTTTTATTTAACTAGGACAGCTAGTTATAACAAGAAAGTTCTTTTGATTTAGTCTTATTTCATAATTTTAGTTGTTGGTAAGATTAATGAGGGATACTATATAAACAAATATGTTTAGGGATATAAATGTTTACACACTATTTTTAAGACCGAGTTAAAAAAAAAGTAATTAATATTAATGAAGACATATAAGTAAATAAACATTTTAGAGGACATAATTGTTCAAATACTATTCATAAGAGTTAATCAAAATTTTTAAAAGGTAGGGATAAAAGCAACCTAGCTAATTAAGAATGTGTTTTGCATATGTCAAATATAGCTTAACAATCACTCCATATACATAGTATCTAAAAGAATAGACCTACCTAATTAGATATTATAGTTTCTTTATATAAAATAGACGCACTAATAAATGGGAGATGTGGTATGTTTTAGGGCCTGTTCCGATTGACTAAACTCAGCTGAACTGAATTGAACTGAACTGAACTGAACTTATTAATTAATGATTTTTAACTACGGATTATTTATTTTTGATTATTTATTACTATACATATGTGTATATACAAATGTACATATTATTATTATTATTATTAATTATTGATTATTATTATTATTATTATTATTTATTGATTATTATTATTATTATTATTATTGTTGTTGTTGTTGTTGTTGTTATTATTATTATTATTTATTGATGATTATTATTATTATTTATTATTTATTGATTATTATTATTAGTATTATTATTTCAATTATTATTGTTATTATTATTATAATTATTTATTGATGATTATTATTATTATTATTATTATTATTTATTACTTATTGATTATTATTATTATTATTATTGTTAATATTATTATTATTATTATTATTATTATTATTATTATTATTATTGTTGTTGTTGTTGTTGTTGTTGTTTTCATTGTCGTTGTAATAAGAGCTTAAAAGAATGAAATTTGGCTTTATATCATTAACAATATCATTAGATGTAAATAGACGTAAATTAAGAGCTGAACTGAACTGAACTGAACTGAACTGAACTGAGCTGAACTGAACTGAGCTGAACTGAACTGAATTTCAACGGAAGAGAACAGACCCTTAGTTGTGCACTTGTGCGACTTGGGACTCTTGTGAGCCAGCCAAGCTAAGGGCTTGT